GTTAATTATGTAATTATCAGGTCAGTACTTTTCTGCATCTCATTTTGTCCCTCAGAGGGATTTGGGGCGTGCCAGCTCTCTGTTCTGTTGAATGACTACTTTCTGTACTTCGCTAACTAAGAACTAGTACCTGGAGTTTTCACTTTTCTTTCTCCCTCCCAACGCCTTTTCCTTTTGTGTCAGGTCTTTTAGATTATAAACCTGAGACCAGAGGCCATCTTATTTCTGTTCTCTGTAATTCATACTGGGCTCCTTTTTCAACTGAAGGGGGAGGGGTAAAAATGCTTCAAGTTCAAGACACAAGGGAGAGACAAGAAACTTTGTTTTAAAGCCCCACAAACCTTTGAGATATACTGAACATCTGATTTCCTCTAAACATAATAAGAAACTTCCCAGCAGTAAGAGCTGCTTGACAGTGAAACTGTCTGCTTAAGGAGTTGGGGAGCTGTGCTTCACTGGAGATGTTTAAGCAAACACTCAATGGTCATCTGTCAGGAATTTTATTTTCTTACATTCATATCTCCCATGCTGCCTTCTGCATTGAGTATGGGTTGGACTAAATGCCCTCTTAGGACCTTTTGAGATCTATCATTTCCTTCCACCTGTCGGTCCATTTCCTTCTACCAGGTAGCCCATCCACTTTCCACCTTTAAGAAACACCTGGAACCTGGTAATTCTGCCCTGGCTAGGGATGGAAGGACCTGTAAATTTCACTTATTTTGGTTTCTCATTCTTTCCACTAAATTTAGTTCTCTACATTTCTGCAACAATTTGCATTAAAAAAAAAACACATGAAATTATTCAGCATTTTAGGGCATCTCCTAATAAACACATTTTTGTATGTAGTTTTGACTAATGTGCATTTTTTGCAAACAATGAGACCTAATATAATGCATGTTTATTTGCTATTTCCATAAATATATTCATTTTTATATATGCATTTTTGCAAACATTGTTGAGATGGAGAACTGCATTGCAAAATTTGGATAAGTGCAAATTTCTAAGAATGGCTGTGTTTCTATTTTCATATTGTTGCAGAAAGTGCAAATTTGATCAATTCAGCTTTAAATGCTGGATTGAATAGAATTTCTTCCCCATCTTCAGCCCGGCTGTTCCTGGGCTGCCTCACTTGCATCATTCCCCCTGCACAGTGTTTGGATGTAGGTACAATATAAATAATAAATGTTAGCAGCGTAGCTCTTCACCCTGAAGTCTTTCATCACTCTTTCACCTGTAGAAGCCAGGGATGGAAAAACTACCACATCACCCACTTGATGAGAGATATAAGATTCAAGCATTTCAAGTGAAACACTGCCCTCTACTGGCCACAGAAAAAGCAAACTTATTTCAGCTATCCAACAGTTACCTTTAGAAGTCAGAAACGTTTGTATCTATCATTCCGATCAGGCCCCTCCAAGAGAGGTTGGATTGCCCTGTTCAATGCCACCTCATTGCTCTTCCCAGCAGTCCATTTTACATGAAGGAGGGAGATATGGTAGGGAAAGTGCTGTGAGCTCAGAGCCAGTCCAATATATTTTGCCACCCGAGGCGAAGGATACAATGGTGTGTCAGCATAGAAAGCTCCCTTACATTGAATCAGAACATTGGCCCATCTAATTCAGTATTGTCTGCACTGACTGGCACCAGGTATCTGGGGTTTCAGGTGGGGCATTCCGAGTGTTACCTGGAGATGCAAGAAGCCAGGACCCTCCAAGGTAGCTTTCTCTGAAACGTTACTGGTTCCATGCACAGGGCCAGCTAGACAGGCACAGCTTCATTGTCTCAATGCAGAGATGATACAAGAGTGTGTGGGGGGGGGGGGGTTGTTAGGCATTGGGAAACATTCTGAGAGCAGCTTTTAAACAGACTGTGAGGGCAAAGCTGACAGGAGCTGAGCAAGGTTGTGTTCAGAACAGTGAGGGATCAGGTGCTCTTGAACATGACGCAGCTCAGAAGGGTTGCCCAATCTCTGCAGAAACAAGGCTCAGGTGACCACTTTTTCCTGGAAAGGCAGAGGACACAGCTGTTGTCTCACCAATGGATTTAGCAGGCCCTCAGCTGCTGAAAATGATCACACTCTGTTCCAAAAATATGTCATGTGCACCTCGGCTCTGGAACACCTTGGACAAAGAACCAAACAGATCCTGGCATACACTGAAATGTGCTTATGTAAAATGCATAGGAGGGGCATCAGAAATGAGAAAAATGGCTTCTTTCTCTCAATCCTGGCAGGGGAAAGAAGTGTTTTATGAGACGATTAACCCAAAGAGTTAAAAGTGTGAGGTGGGGAGAAACTCAGCAGCTGATCTTGCAGACTCCTCCTGAGTGAGATCAGCAGCACCTGCTAAAATGCTGGAAAGCAGGGATCCTATTTCACAAAGCTGCCACCTCTCAAAGCCTGGTAAACCAACAGTCAAAGCAAACCTAAAACAGTGTCCAAGGCCAACCCAAGCCATTTCACAGCCTATAGCAAAGGACAATATGCCACACCTGCCCCCCGATTCCTCATACGGAAGCTGACTAAACTGGCAAGTGAATCCTATTACAATGCTGGCAATGGAAAAGTATCCTCCGCTGAAGTGGTAGAAAACCTCAGGCCTACGGGCCAAATGCAGCCCCTCTATGAGTCTCTACCCCACCAAGTCCTGTCCCCCACCCCCCGCCAGTTTTAATGTGACCTTGAACTCTGATAATGTATCTGGCTTGCCAGGATGGATAATAGAGGTATGCACAGAAACCAGGTAAAACTCTCATTTGTTGCTTTGGTCACTTTTGCATCTGGTCCCACCCACCACTGGCATGCAACCCTTGGAGGTTTCCCAGTATAGAATGTGGCATTCCAGGGAAAAAGGTTTCCCCAGCTGCATCAGAGGGCAGCAAGATAATTAAGGGGGTACAGAACAGGCCACGTGGCACCCACAACTCTGTCCTCCAACAAAAGGGTGCAGTGGCATTTGATGGCATTCCGGCAAGGGAAGATGGCAAGCACCACAGCTGCACAGAGCTCCTGCGAATCACCAGCATTAACTGCGCTACCTGGCTGGCCCCACACCGCCAATGCCGTCGTCAGTGGGGAACCAGGGGTGCCCAATGCAACAACCAGGGTGGCTATGCAGAGACCCCAGCCTCCCCAGTGGCCTCAACGCCGGCGGAACCAGGAGCACCCCACCAATGGCCAAGAGGAGCTCTTAGGGCAAGTGGAGCTCTGAGAATCATATTGCATCACCAACCAAGTACATCACATAATCCAGTATATTCTAGAAGACGAGACGAAACCCATGAGTTCACTTGGAGAGAGACACCATCGAAAACGTCCCCAAAACAGCATCCACATTTCTTCAAAACAAACTAAAGAAAATCCCCACAACACTGAACAGGTTCACACTGTCCATGCTTAAAGCATTGAAGGGGAAAGTAGGCAAACTATCCCCATCTCCACTAACCCTCCCTGGCCTATCACCCCACTATTCCAACACATACTTTAAAACTTGGTAAGCCAATGGCCTACACTGTCTAAAATACTACTACAAAAACAACAAACCCATACCAACACAAGAAATACAAGACAAAGTAGGGGACACCCAAATACCTTGGGCTAACACATGGTCAACTACATGCCTTCTTAAACAATCCAGCAGTAAAATCAGCAGCTACTAGGCCCTTGGCAATCTTCGAAAACCTTCTCCTGACAGCAGAGGGACACAGCAAAGGGATGGTATCCACAATATACAAAATACTGCTCCAAAATCCCACAAACCCCCTTGACACAATCAAAGAACAATGGGAGCACAACATAAGCTATGAAATTAACCCCACCCAATGGACTTGAATGTGGTCTAAACCTCCCTTTAATTCCATATCACCCAAAAGAAGGGAACTCACTCAGAAATTCAACTGCAGGTGGTACTTAACATCACAGAAACTGGCGTCGATACACCTAGGAACCTCACCAAGATGTTGGAGAGGCTGCACCTTCAAAGGCACATACCTCCACATGTGGTGGGAATGCCCTAAAATTCAACCCTTCTGGACAGCAGTCCTACAAAAGATATGCAAAATAACTACAGATATTAGAGCTCACCCCAGAAGTAGCCCTACTGAACATCTTCCAAGATCATAATGACAAAAGTCCATGGTGACACACACACCCCCATCGAAACACTGACCCCAAACCTCCTTAGCTTCAGCAAAGTTCCTTCATCATGTGCCCAGAGAGTCCTGGAAGGCCTGGTGCCAGCAGGCCCATTCTCAGTTGCTTTAGGAAAGCAGAGCCCTGGTTGACTCCAAGTGCAAGAACTGTTCCCGCTGTAGCTGTGTTGAGTGTATTTCATATTATGTTCCCTAAACTTGTGTTTTTGTTAGTATGGCTTTGTTGTACCTGTAAGTCAATCTGTTCTCTGTCCTTGTGAGCTGCTTTGGGCATGATTTTGAAAAGCGGCGCATGAATAAATCTGATGATGAGCCTTCAGACCATGCACAGGTAAAGAGTAAACCAACCAGTTGCCAGTTGGGTATTGTCCATCGCCTACAGTGCCCTTCTTTGTTATGAGCTCTCTGGGCAAGGTCTGTAAACTGTATGCTATAGAGCAGACGGTTGCTGTTAAATATTCTGTGTTTGAAAAGCACAAAAGAGAGGCACAGGAAACATTTAGCATTTGATTCACTTTATTATGTTATCAAAGTATGATAATCAAATTGTCAGAAATCTACTGAACTCATTCACACAAAGAGGAAGGTGTATAGAAAAACAACAGGCCTTCCCAGGCAGTGTTCTATATTAAATACTGTTAAGCAGAGAACAGCAAAGTAATTGCTCAGTCCCTGAATTTTTGAACACCTCAAACACTATGTACTCCACAAACTAGCTTCATGGCTAGAATTTTTGACTTTGGCCTGCAAACTCCATTTCACTTATTGCTCAATGGTGAAATCTACTCTTTCTAGCAGAATCACATAGTAGCCCTAAAACCTTGCAGCAGCAGCATCTATCCATCTATATTTTAAGCAGTTGAAGTTCCATCCAGCACTCTATACATATCAGGTGTAGTGCATTTGGTCCTTAAAAGTATTTTGGTTTTGGGGAGCAAAGTTGCAAGGACATGAAAAATGAACACATTTGTAATAATTGGGGATACCAAGAGATAGCGTGAAGAGGCAAGCTGTTGGAGAATGTGTCTCTCATGTGCTTTCACAGACTGACAGAGCAACCAGAACCCAAAGACACATTTTAGGATCGTCATGCCCAGTGAAAAGTAGACTTTGAATTGTTGATTCCCAAGATAAATAGAATGCTTTAAAACTCTAGTTTCAAAAGCAGTTTGAAAGAGGGACATAGACACATTGTTGTTTGAAAAATGTGAGCTTCAGGAAATTAATTGCACAATTTGTGGCTCTGGCTATGATCTACAGGAAGCTCCAGTTCAATCAGTACTTCACCACCGAATTTATGAATAACCATCATTCACAATGTTAAATGGTGGCTATAAATGGCAAAATCTAACCCAATATAGCTTTTCCCATTATCAGTTAAAGGATAAAAACATAACAAAAAAACCACAATACGATACAAAGCCAAATATAGAAGAGAAAGACTGTCATATAACCAGAAGAAGCCCCAGTGGGACAGCTAATGATGCTTGGCCATATTTAATTTTACAGCAGGCAGCTGGCACAAGCACTGATAAATAAACCACCAATGGCCTGGAATCAACAGCGGGAGGCAGGTGTATGAGATTGATCGGGACAGATGAGAAGGGAGAAATAAAGAGGTGACATTTTGGTTGCACTATGTATTAAGAATGAAATGCAGGTGGGACAGAAGTATTACAGGGCAGCTAAGAATGGGGCTGGAAGTCACAGCAACAGATGCCAGTTACCAGCTACAGCTGGACAATATGATGCAAGGCCGAAACATGGAAGGCACACATACAGTAGGAGCGCACTCTGAATATACATGTGGCCTTTGGTTTAACCCCTTAGTCCTCATCCCCAACTAAAACTAAGTCTAAGCACAAGTAAATCAACACATTCTTGTTACCTTCTCCTCTATCACTCCCCAGCCTGGCACCCCCTGTGTTGTAATTTAAATTGGATCCTACTCAGAAATCAGAGACCTGTGCTTTTGCTTACGTTCCACTGTTAAGTGCCATATGTATGGTTAGCTCTATATGAAGTGTAAGTTAGCAAGTCTCTGAAGACCTGTCACACTCGTTTCCTGTTCTCTGCTGTAACAGTCCTAAACAGACCATTAAGGCAAGCCCTAGCCTTCAGAATGTTCCATGAAAGTGATGTTGTGCTGAATGTGGATTTCCCTGTGAATGTGTGAGGCCAAATAGTAAGAAATAACTCGGCAGGGAAAAGGAACCCAGAGTCACCCACATGGACCCAGCCATCTGCATGGCACCAAGCATAATGGTACCTTGAGGCCATAAGATTGATATGGGTAGGATGGGGAGCAACAGACAAGGTGGAACCAATCTTAGAGCTATAATTAAGTATAGCGTCAGTTTAGCAAGTCAGATTTGCTATCAGAAGCATTCCCAAATGAAACTTGCAGCTACAGAACAAAGAGAAGCAGATTGATGCTGACAATTCAAAGACATGGCTCGAGGAGGCACTCTCAGAGTGCAAGGCATAGAACAATGTCTGCTGGAAACTTTCAGAGGTTATGTTATTGCCATGCCTACAGTGATCACCAGTGGCCTTGTTTAAAATACTTACTGGCATTACTGAAAAACAGGAAATTGGATGAACAGGATTGCACATTCCATAAGGCAATAAATACTTTGATAAATATTTTGTTTCTTGGAGGACCAATATTATGCTAAAACTACTACAATGTAGCAATACACAATCTAGAAAACCTAAAAGCTTGACAGAGACTATATAAAAATGTTACACCATACCAGTAACAGAAAAATATACTTGCAGACTGTAAGCTACCACTGCAGATTCTGTGTGATCTCATTGTCTAGTTAGGAAAAGTCTGAAGATTAGAAAAATACGAATGATAAACGTGTCCACACCTATCGCTCTGTGCACTTACTTACTAAGAGGTCAGGCTCAGTGCAAGTTCCTCAGAACAAAATTCAGATTTCCAGGTCACTCTTACTCTCAAACTGGAGTATTTGGCACAAATCTCAAGTCAGCCCCCTATTACAAGTGTCCCTTATGACATCAACAATTGATGTACCGCCCCCTTTTGGGTGCTTTTAAAGTTTCAACCCAGGGACTAACCAGACATAGATAACGATGCAGCAACTCGTATCCCAAACATATACTGAGCTCAAGGTAGGAGAGTTTGGTTGTGCCATGTTGGCTAGACACTTATGCTGGTTAGTTAACTGAGGAGATGGTCACAAGCTGTTATCTGGGTGGGCAGAAGCAGCACGAATGAATACTAAACCATTTGCTCTGGAAGGAGGGATTGTCAATAGATGGCCAACCCAGCAGCTAACAAGCAATTATGGGGTCAGCTGAGCCTCTCTTTTTTTGCAGTCTGCCCAGCACTGCCTCAGATGAAGGTTGGTGCTTTTTTTACAGGCACTTCCTGCAATTATGGTTGCACATTACACTCCTGAATCAGGAACGTGAGCATCTTTGCCCCATGCCATTTTGTTCTATGGTACAAGGCTTGATCTTCCATAGGGGACAAGGAAATAGAATTTGGAAGAGGATTACAGTACAAGAAAAGGAGACTCCAACGAAACATGACAACCGAGTTACAATACCAAAATTTCTGGGAAGAGTTAGCTTTACTATCAGCTCCATCTTTAAGAAGTCTCCAGTAACAAGAACAGTTTAGGCTGTTATTTTGCTCTACAATGCTAAACATTGCTGGAAGGCAGCCTGTGTTTTAGACACTCCAGATCATGGAAGGAAGGCATGTGGCTAAAATAGCACTTGTCACAGCACTGGCTTCTGAACAAATGTTGGCAAGTACTCAAGAGACAGCCAACTGATCACAACAAAACAGAGACCATCTCCTTAATATCTACTCTGTCAATTCTTAGATCTACAGCCAACTGGAAATATCCAAGTTACAGCAGTAAAGAAAACCTTGCTGTCTTCAGCCATTGACCTCCACCTTGCTCCAGCAAGGATCAAGCTAAAGGGTTCAGCTTGTGCTAGAAAATCTTATCAGGAGCTCAGAGACATACTGTATCTTCTTCATGAACAATACTCATCTGGCTGGATGTCACCAACTTAAATAAAACCAAATAGCTGCTGCTGGGACTTCACTTAATACTAGCTTCCCAGCTGGGAACAATGACCCAGTACTTGTGACCCTTCAGAAAAGGTTATGTTATTGTTATTGTTCTTTTTTTATATTACAGCTCATCTATGCCCTTCCCCACATCCCAGAGAACAAGCGCAGCACATTCTTCACAAAGATGGGCACTTGGATTGCACTAAATACAGCTGGAATGAGCCTTTTGTATGTAGGACACCACAGTGTGTTATGAGCACTAATCAAAGAGACAAGTGATCATTAATTGACAGCAACATTTCCAACAAGGCCCAAACAAGTCAAGCAGGCTTTAAATAGGGTTGTCCAAAATAGCCATTCTTCCTCCCTGCCTTAAAAGGCCCTTCAAGTGTCATGTCAGAAGAGGGTATTATGCATTGTGTCATGAGCCAAAGAGAACTTTTTTTACGTAGGAAATTGTATTGGCATCATAGAGCATTTCAATGTGCTCACTCCCTGGAAGCTCATAGAGTGTCACATTCTGTTTCTGCTGGCCCACCCACTTCTGACACTGCAAGGCACTTCGCAAATTCACTGTTCCATCACCATCACCATAAAAGATCTTAGGATCCTTGTCGGGAAAGGTGTCATAGAAGAATGACTCTGGGGTCTCCACCCCAGTACCATAAAGACAGTGTATGCGCACCCCTGGAGGAATCATATTGTAGACCAAGGATTCGGTCTCTGTTCTCATGAGCCAGCCATCCTCAAAGCCAATATCTGTATAAAACTTTTGGTAATCCTGAATAGTATAGTTAGCAAATGGAGTGCTGACAAGGATCTTCTCTGGAGACCAGGTGTAGTTGTAAGGGAGCAACCAGCTGGTTGACACTGCAGATCTCTGCTGGCCTCTGATCTTAAGGGAGCTGATGACAGGGATCCGATTATTGTCACCTGAGGCATTAAAAGTATTATCTGGTTAGTGATCACATGTTGTCATGTAAACCCATAATCCAGTAGTTATAAACTCATGACTGACACAGACCAAAACTAAAGTATAGTTTGAATGTTGTCATTTTACACTTATTAGGTTGTACTCTTCAAGCCCTGACATGAAGGGCAACAGTAAAAATATTTGATGCCAAAGACGGCATAATCCAAGGAAAACTACTGCTGTGTAAAACTCATCAATATAAATAACTTCATGTAATCTAAAGACTTACCTTGAGAGATTGCTTGATGGTTTCATAACAGATAAATATATTATCTGCTATCTAAGGACTCTGCCTCCCTATCTTTAAAATTAGGCAGGAATTGGCTTTGAACAACATCAGTACTTAAGACCATCAGTAGCTTCCCACAATTATAGAATCCAATCATCCTGGAAATTCAAAGATTGTTTGTCCTCCAATGCCTGTTTCGGGCTGGCTCTCTTCAACCAAAAGCTGGTTTTAGGATGAAGACTGTAGCTATTTATTACAGTAGTACACCTAGATGTAGCTAAGCATGTTCAAGTTGCACCACAAACTCCTGTCCCTTTTAATGGAACCCACCGCCCCGCCCCCCTGCAAGGTGGAGACATTTACCTGACGCTAGAACACGTAGAGTTTTTGCCACTCCTCCCCATGGGGCACCAAGTGAAATGAAGTCCCTTATGTATTTGTCTTTCCAGTCTTGAGGCTGATGGCTGAGGAAGTAGAGAACATACATATTCCCCATGCTATGGGCAATTAAAACCACTGGTTGATCATATTCTTCATACATTATCTCTATCAGCTTCCGGAGGGCCACAAAATAGTCTGCATTCTCATCTAGAAGGAGGAAGGCAGATAATTTATCCCATTAACTGAATGAGCTTATTCAATCTCTCTATTGTCATTTTATTTAAAACATTTAACACTGAACTGAAAGCTGTAGAAGATCATGTGCACTGTTTTGGATAGGTTTCCCCCCCCCATTGCCCACAATTCCCTAAACCTTTCAGACTAGCTCCCCAACATTCAAGACAAAAGTCTCTCAGGTGTGTTTGGTTTTAATTCTATGAGTCTAAGTTAAAAGAAAGTGTGTCTTGATTGTATAATCTGACACAGGCTGCAAAGAGAATGATTTTGTTCACACATGCATGCACACCACTTGACTTCTGCATCTCAATGACTGGGAAATGAAAATGTGAAATGGCCCCATTAAAAAGCACTGATTTGCATGGATAGTGGGTGACTTTAACAACACCCTGTATCAACATCTACCTTCCAGGATTCCAGCACAGCTCTTCAGTAACAATTTGGCTTGTTGCACCATCTTGGCTGTATGAAGTAGAAAGGTCACCAAGACTTGTTTTTAAACAAGCCTGTAACTATTTAACTATCAGGTGACATTCAGTTGCATCAGGGGCTAAATAGGTTGAACTTGTAAGCCTTGGAAAAACTTGATTACCACAAATTCTGTGTTTGCATGGGCCACAGTTCATTCTGCTCTGTAACCCTAATCCCAATAAATGAAGATTTATTTACTTGGTGCCTTCCGCCAATCATAGGGAGCGCCTCTAATATCTTCATCCCGTTGGTAGCCCAAGTCCACCAGAGTCTGCACCAGTGTATAGAAGTAGGTACCTATGGCCAAAAGAAGAAACTGAATTGCAGGCCCAATTAACATTGCTCTTTATGTAACGTTGAAATTTCAGGGCCTTTTTAAGCCAACTCCCATATTGGTTACAACATGTTATCAGTTAATTTGTTCAAATTAATCCTTCTTCAGTTATAAACAATTACAGTGTCAGTTATGTTCATCAACAATTCTGAAATCACAATCTGGAGATGACATTCATTTTCAAGCCATCTGGGACAAGATGTTCCAACAACTGTTCACTCCGGAGTGGTCAATTTGCTCTATGTTTTCATCTATGAGGGTACATGACCACAGGAAGAACCTAAAGAACCTATATGATCGCAGCTGTTGGAAATGAGCACTCAAAGATGGTTGTCAGTTCACCTTTGATGCAGTCTGGTTTTGTTCCACTTAAATTTTCTCTGACCTTCTAATACCAGGTGAGATGGTACTGACCTTAGCAGCTGGTAGAGTACTGAACTGTGTTTCCATAACTAACATAGTTTAACATGGTTGCCTCTATCATGGGCTGAGCACATTTCCACTCTGTTGCCAAGGAAGTGAAGGCTGAAAGTTAACACCAAGGGTGAGGGCAAGAAATGCCATCTAAATAACCCTGGCACCATGGGGGCATTGTTATTTCTGTTTCTGATATCAGACTTCAATGTTACATTTACTACAAGGAAGAAGCATTCTAAATCAAATAGACTGCACTACAGATGGCAATATGTACATAGGCAAGTTGGGGAACAGCCATAGCTCATCATATTCAGGTAGGGCTAGGAGAGACACTTTTCTGAAACCCTAGAAAAATCCTGACTCAGTACAAGGCAGCTTCCTATGTCCCTTCCTAAATTACATGCTTGGGCCTATGTATAATACAGATTAGTTTTTTTCCCAGCCTTCCAATCAGACAAGTGTGAGCTCTTTCCATAAAATTCAAACAAAGGCAGACAGAGAATAAATCTCAGGAACTATTCTCCATCTCTGGAATTATTGTGGTTTTTGTCCAAGGACATTTAGGGGAAGGGACTATTTTGCCAGTATGTTTCATGCATGCATATTTGAGACTTGACACTACCACTGACAAGAGTCCAAATGAGATTAGATTAGGTGAAAAATACATACCAACACTTCTTTTACTAGGGTCAAGGAATTCCAAGGAGAAAGTCTGTCCAAATCCAGGGACTTTGATATCCACCCCATCTGGTGGCCCAGTGGATCCACTTGTTCGATTGTATACTAGCCTGGGGGGAAATATCAATATCAAGACCAAAATTTGAATGGGAGTCTATATATTTGAATTATCAGGTACACAAAAGATGCACAACAAATGGACTTTGAAAACTTGTTTTCTGATGCACACAAACATACACTAATTAAGCCAGTAAGGTGTTAAGTCCAATCCGCAGCATACTGCAGGTCTAGAGGGAAGAGATAAGCTTTCTTTACTAATATAGCCATAAGTAGAGTTTTAGCAAAAAGGGTTAAGATACTGGTAAGACAGCTTTAAGTAGGTTATTTCAACAAAGCTTCTCAGACAGACTTAATATAGCATAAGAACAATATCCACTTAGCTGCTAGGTACTGAAGCAGCCCAGTTGCAAACAATTGGTTGGCCTTGTTCTTGCTGCCATACAGTATCCCCCTTCCTAGAGCTCTCCCTTCCTCCACTCCCTGTAATGTAGACGAGTTCCAGCAGTTTGCCTTAAAATGCACCTGATGATTTTGGCTAAAGTCCTCAACTTGAGTGCTGGACATATGTTTTTGTCATAAGCAAATAAGGTAATTAATCATTCTGCTTTGACTGTTCTGGCAGGTAAGTGGAGAAATGTTAACCAATGCCTCGGTAACATGAGGTCTACAGACTTGTGTCAATAAGAAAATGGATGTAATATAGCATTTGTAGTGTTTGCTCTTTGAGAGACCTCTGGGTCCAAGGAAGCATTTAATTTATCATTAACTCATAGTTAACATTCTGATACGCAATACAAGACAGCAATGAAGTGTTAAAAAGGCATAATGCAAGTTGAGTAACAAGCAAATTCAAGGATAACAGTTTATTCATGTGGTCACTTGGAAGACAGAGCAAACTTGTTTTCTCATGCTTAAGAGGATAGTACCCGAAGCAAAGGCTTCAAGTTACAAGAAAGGAGATTCTGACTAAACATGAGGAAGAACTTTCTGACAGTAAGAGCTGTTTGACAGTGGAATAGACTCCCTCTGAAGGGGCAGACTCTCCTTCTTTGGAGCTTTTTAATCAGAGGTGGGATGATCATCTGTCATGGATGCTTTAACTGAGCTTTAACTGCACAGCAGGGGGTTGGACTAGATGATGCTTGGGGTCCCTTCCAACTCTACAATTCTATGATTCAACAGCTATTTGAACTTTTATGTATGCAGGTAGTATTTCATGACTGGATTCCTGCCAATTTCAAACTACCACCTTTTTGAACACTGGCTCAATTCCTACAGCATATCAAGCCACAGTCTTCGCTAACAAAATTTAGAACACAAACCATGTGGGTAACTGGCAAGGAATCACCATGAAAATTGTTCCAGAGGGACAAGGGTAGAACTAAATGATTCTCTGTTTCACACACAATCACATTTCCTATACTGCAATGGGAAATTGTGAATCCATGGCACGTACATATATTTTGCACTGTTTCATTGTAGCCTAAACCTGCTGCCAATTACTGTAGTTTCCTGCTGTGGACATGTGTTCCTCAAAAGTGACAAACTGCATACAGACTTCATAGTTTTCTGGCTGCTACACATAATAGCCGAGGCAGGATTTGAATTCTGATCCCAAGGACTTTCCCACATTGCCTTCTGAGTGGTTTGGGATCTCAGCTTGAATGTCCCTAGATCTCATACAATTTGGGTACTTCTTGCTACTCAAAAAAGAATCAAATTATTTAAGTCCCATTTTTACACAGAACCGAGTCCTTTTAACAGTGCTATGACCCACCTGATATTATCTATCCAACAGTCAATGATAACGGGAAGCAGCAGTTCTAAGTTGAGCCACAATGTGTAGTAACTTTCTGTCTTCTTGGAGCAGAGGTAGTGCACCACAGAAGGTTTGTCCAACTTTGCTTCTAACTGGTTACCCAAATCTCCTGGCACTGTAATGGTAAAAGGAAGGGAAGAGTTACATCAAGTGCTGTGGTTTTGCTCAGGCATTTTTACTCCCACCCCAAAGCTACACTTGGTTTTAAAATGCATTGAGGTTTTATTACTTAAAAAATGCTACACTCTGTAAAGCAATTGGAGCTCTGTGGAGAAATGGCCTCAGCACTATTGTAAAGTAGCCTGGAAATTAGTCTCCAAGCCTGTCGGCTGACCTGTAAGAATTATCACACTCTTGTGATGCTTGATATTCTAAGAAATGTAAATACTTCTGAGTTCAGATTATGTTCGGTGGGGGAGAAACTTGTTATCTCAACAAATGGGAGTTAAATTGACTGTTTCAAACTATTTTAGCACACTATGCATTTTTAACTATGCAAGGAAAAAAGTGCCTTCAAAATTATTATTAGAAGATTTTGCAACTGAGAGTCCTTTTATGGAACCTCCCACCTACATTACACAAAACCGATTTGTCAGCTTATTTATCACAATTTTTGTTTGCTTTATATTTTCCACTATTATACACATCAACTGTGCTTTATGCTACTTTTATACCATTTCTGACCTGAAGGAAAGGAAGAATGCAATAAAGATTCACAATTAATTATTTATTCATTATATTAATTAAATGTATATATCACCCTTCACCCAAGATCACAGAGTGGTTTACAGTATAAAAACACAAAACTACACAACATAAAAACAAAATGTATAACATATAAAAAATGTTAAAGGCACTTCTGCATATGCAAGACAGTCCCTCCTCCTCATGCCCCATCCCTTTCATCAGCAAACATTTACATTCCCCAAAGCAAGCATCATTCATGTAGATTGGATAGAATTTATGGAGAATGGAATTCAACAGTCATGAAACTCAGTTTCTTTTCTCAGCACAATGTGATATATTTTATCATCTCAATTGCTTCTGAAATTAGGTTGAATGAAAATTGCATGGACAAGTGTATTTGGCATTGCTTTGTATATAGACCATTATAGACACTTCCCTCAAAACTGATTATTCACTTAATATTGAAAATGAATACAGGAACTTTAATCACATTGGACTTAATGTAAGGAAATATGCTTATTTCCTGTAAAATGGCTGCTAAATAGGCACTTCTTCAATATTAGTTTGCATTTCCATCAAGACTATGATAACTCCATTAAATGAGTTAACACTTTTTTCTCTTCATTTACTTTTCACTAGCTATTTTACAAGAAAAACACATTTTTTAAAAAAATTCTTTGTTACATGTTCCACAAATCACTCCTAGTGCATGTCTGGCAGGTGCAAGAGCTCCCAGCAACTCAAGCCATGTCAGAAGTTAGGCTGCTGCAGTCTGCAGTCCCTGAAGCTTCTGGAAAGTCACCAGGGCAAATATGCCTTAAGTATCTCTTCACCGCCCACCACCCGACATATGCATCAATGGATGCTGACTAGCCAGCCTGCAAGGCAACCTTCTCCTAAAAACATTTTCAAGGTCTCATCCTGTATTATCTAGACAAGATCACGCGCCAGGCAGTTTGACTGCTTTCCCTATCTCTGTTTGCTGCTTTGACTCAGATGTCTATCCAGGGCTGGAAGACACAATCAAATGCATCTCATGTATTTACTAATAGTACTATTCTTAGAGCAGACAACAAAAAGTTAGATACAGAATTACCACCCTAGCAAAAACATTTTCTTTCCAATGTTGCAATCTTGAAGGTTTTCCCACCTAAATAGAAACTATATAAACCAAAACTAGTTTCAAGGAGCTGAAGGAAGAATTGACATAAATAGGTGTGGGGGATGGATGGAGCTACCATTCATTAGGCATTTAAAAATCTGGTACAATTAAGTGTCTTAAATATTTGCACTTGGAAACTGGCTGGGGATTTAGAACTTGATTCACCATCCCTCTGCCTGTTATAACATGGATTTGAGCATGTTTTCTTCATGGTGGGCAGTTCTCAAGTTTTCACCTCTAATTCCAAGAAACAGGACTCTTTATTTTTGCAGCTTCTGTTTCCACGGAGTCGTGGAAAAGTCTCCCGTAACTGTTGAACAAGATGAAGAGTTTATAAAACCACTTACAATTAAGGGTTGTTTATTTTGCAAGAAGCTTCTATGTTATAATTAGGACTAGAAGGGCAGTCACATGATGTGCAGATTCCTCTGAAGAGTGCATGAGTAAACAAACCCTGCCACACACACCCAGCTGCCAACCTGAGTCAAACAACGGAGTAGGAGCTTAAGAAAATGAATACCCAAATAGCTTTGTTTAGGGCCAAACTACATCGGACCGTGACAGACCAGCGTCTAAAGCAGATCGCTGATCAATTGTTATAAAGGAGTATTTGCATGATTTAAAGCACAGAAATGTCAAGTGAGTGCTGAGCCCTTCCTGTGCTCTCAACCCCGCATTCTAACCACTTGTTCTCAGTGTTTCATCTTGCAGTAGCAATCTAAACCTCAAAGTTAAAAACAGCTGAAATGAAACTAGGGAGGGAAAGGTTAAGTACCCCACCCCCATCCACATCTGGCCCACATCATATTAAAACTTGACCATTGGCTGGCTTCCTGGGAATTGTACGCAGTCAACTGTGGATTGTGTTGCATTGCTGTCGCGTGTAGTTTGGCCCTTAGGTTCTTAAGAATTTTAGCAAAAAGTCAATTCAAATCCTTTGTAAGTGATCCAGCAAACCAATTCTGATCCTAAAATGTACTTCTTAAACGCTGCTCAGAAATTAATGTAAATGAAAAAGAAAAAAACAAAACAAAGCTGAACGGTTTGCTTAAAAGCACTGAAGTTCTTTTAAATAAGTAGTATATAGCAGAATGAGCAAAGAGATCCTTATGAATGTTTATAAATACACTACCCTTGATACGAGTCCAACCTACTTGCTTACCCAAGAGCAAAGCTTGCGTCAGTTAGTATAATTTGTAGCAGGAGTTATAGACTGAAAATGGTATTGTTTCAAATGAATGGTATCAAACTGGATCTGGATCTACATAGATTATGCACTAATGTGCGGCAGCAAGCTTTTATTTCCAGCTGCTACAAAGCTTGGCACTGTATTCAAAAGTCTGAAATACTTGCCTATCAGGCATTATCCTTTATGACTAAAAAACACTATGTCCAAGCATGCTGCCCTGCAAAGAAAATTAAAAGCAGATATTTTTGAGGTCAAGTTCCCGATACAGTTTGATACAACAACTAGCACATTGCCTGAGAATAAGTCCTCTCCGCTTGCAACTGTAACTATATTATAATAATATTAAGGTGCACACACATAGCAGGCCCCACTCCACAGAAAACAAATCTTTCACCTTTCAAAATTAGGAAATATTCCCTGAAAAAAATAAATACACTTCATCTGAGTACACATAGCAAAATAATGTGAATATTGCACAACATCAAGAAAAGTGCTTAAAAGTCAAAGAAAAGCACAACAGTAAGGAAGCATATGGAGAAGGAAGCTACAGTTCCGGTAGGCAGTATCTCTGGAGCACAGCCTAACTTACTATTCTCCTGTGCAAACTACATGAAGTGTGAGTAAATTATATTGTTTTTAAAATGCAAAAGTGGATCTATTCCAAGGACATGTATGAAATGGAACTGGTGGTGGTAACAAGATTGTCCACTACAAAATGATGCTCAGCATCTCATACTAAAAGTTAGCAACACTTTAGCCACCACAAATGTGCTGTGGCTATACATTAAATCATGGGGCAATCAGTCAATAATAACTATCACTGAAATTAATCTTCCTAACAAGATGCCACAATGCATGTCCTGTACCTCCACCTGCAACTATCTCCATGGCTAACTGCCAGTTTGAGAGGCAATGATTTAGTTTCAAAGAAGGAAGAGCAGACCAAGTGGATCACAGAAAGCTTCTTATCCTACTAAGTCAAGTAAAGAGATTACAATTATTCAAGAGAACGGTGATGGCCAAGAAGCAATCACCAAGTAAAAAAGAATGTGGCTCTACTCCTTAATACAAGATGGGCATGGTTGTTTATATAAGCAACCTGCTACAGGAACAAATTGCACTTGCATGTGTAGGTTATAGATGATAGAGATAAAACCTATGCAAAGACAGGAACCCAAAAAACGAACACAAGTAGTTATGCAGTCTCTTGCAGTATGAGCAGGCAGATCTTTGACCACAGTCCAAAGGCCAATTTACATTTACTTTCATCTTTTGAAATTCACCAGTTAAGCATCTGGAAACCCCTAGGGTGAGGAAAGAAGCAAAATATTAAGAGGATTGCTGTTGGTTTCATTTACTTTTTAAGTAGCCCATTAACTACTCATCCCTAGTTGATGCTTGCACAACCCTATTTGACCTATGCATATAGGAACTAACCAAGACAATTTAAAAAAAGACACAGACAGCTTTCTGGGGTAGGTGGTGGTAGGTTTTTTGTTGTTGTTGTCATCCCACCCCCACAGCAATTCCCAAACTGACTTAGGATAACATAAGACATTTTTTCTACCCAAGTCAATTTAAATATGTCAGTGTGGTAAAATGTCCCAAAATGAAGCCATGTGTGATGCGTCAGAAGTAGGACTATTATCTGTTTCCCTGGACTGGGTTTTGTTGCTTTTTGGGAGGAAGGTTCGACTTGGAAAACCACATAGAATATTTCTTTACCCCAACAAGTTAACAATGGACAAAAGGAAAAAACAGCTCAACTGCAAGAATCTATAGATTTTGTGAGATTTTTTTTTGCTGATGTTTTTCAATTCACAGGTGTTTTGCAGCACAAAACTTGTAAATAATAAATGGCTTAAATTTAGGGAAACGGTTTACTAACCCCACCTGCATGACCATCTCTACTTTTCTGGAGCTGGCATGCTGAGTGGCCCTTGTCCCTCATGCAACGCAGAGAGCTTTTAAGCTGTGTCTCGCTTACTGGTCTCTGAAAGGCTCTCATACAGGCGCCGGGTGGCTCCCAGAGCCTGTGCAAGATCTTCCCAGAGCCCAGTAAGCAAGGCAAAGAGCTTAAAAGCTCTCTTCATCATGGGAAAACCCAGCACAGAAAGAGCGTTTAAACTCTCCACCTTGTGTCCGTTTAATTGCAGGGGATTGGACACAGATGATCTTCAGGGTCCCTTCCAACTCTATTATTCTGTGAGCTGTGATCTGCATGCTGGCCAGCCACCAGGCACATAAAGCTGCGATTGTGCAGGTTCATAAGTTGTGAGTTGATTGTATTGCATCTGAGATCAGACAGTCATGAGAAGACAAAAAAATTAGTAACTGGTGTGTTCCCAATTCTGATAGAAACAGGAAATTAATGCTCCCATAAACAAAGGACTAGGGTGTTGTTTATATTATTTGAATCTTCATATAAACAAGGTATGTTAATTGCCATCTGCTTGCCCATATTGGATTTATTAGCAGCTGCATTAAAGCCCCATAGTGAGCATCTGTCTAGCACATGACTTATTTTAACTCATTTATTTCTCATGTGGCTGAAGCCTGATATTAGATCTGCAGATATTTCACTGGTCGCTTTATCTCAGTTGATGCCAGCCCTGGATTAAATGTCAAAGCACATTGTTTAGCCTTTGTGGAAAACAAGTAAGAAGAGAGAGCTGGTAAAGGCTCATCTCCATAAAGAGACACATAGGCAAACTGTTTGCCACTCCACGACCTCAGAAATTCACACATGTAAATTCATTTCATTATCTGATTCTGTTAATCAGGTCTCTCAATATGACATATCGTTTTAAACAATAGTGAAAATTATTAAAATATAATCAGCCTTTGTCTCAATGACACCATAACAGCTAACCTCTGCTTTTGGCTGATCGCAATGCAACAGTTTAAAGAGCTATTTATTGTTTCTATTCTGTGAACACATACCTGCATGATTAAATTCTGCAGTAGTCAGAACACTGACTACATTTAATCTGTCATTCTGCTCTACACAAATAACTGAAGTACTATAAATAAGATTATGTTTCATTTTGAAGCGGGTCAAGATCTAGTCAACAGGCAAGGTTTCCCAATGCCAAAATAAACATAGTATACGCTTTTAGATGTGTGTATTTCCTAGTTATAAAACTACAACCATTTGTGTACGTGAAGAACACAGTTTGGTGAAATCCATGGACTTTATATTAACTGAATTGAGCTTATTTAACAGAGACCTATGCTGGCTAGTATTACTTGATCTCTCAGTGGCTTCTGATTCCCTTTTTGCTCCCACCCCTGCCCCCAGAGTATATTGTATAAAACAGAGTAATTCTATAAATTCAACAGCTCATAAAATACTAAGAAACACAAAATTCTACTATTGGTAGAATCTTTACCAGATGAACTGCCACCCCACATGCTTTCTCAGGGAATACTGGCAACTTCCTTGCACACAACTCTTCTAACACTGTTCTTAGGAATAAATCCCATAGATATTAAAGACACTTATTCCCTGGTAAATATGTGAAGGGTTCCAGGCAGTGGGATGTTAGGGTTATAGATTATTCACTACTGGTTTTATCCCACAGCATAAGAAAAGCCATAGTTTTTCCTTAATATTGGTATCAGGGTTGGCATCACTGTTGTAAATGTTTGTTAAAAATAAATGTCACCAAAAATAAATAAATAAATAAATAAATGTTGCTTAAGCCAAATATCTGAAGAATCAAATGAAGAAAAACACCAGTAACTTCTATAGGACTACAACACCTCCTATGTTATTTATCCATTTAGTCTAGGTTGTATCCTGTTAGGCCATACAGAGTAGACACTGAAATCAATGTACATTACTAACTTAAGTCCAGTGATTTTCATTTACTTGGATACAAACCACATTGGCAGGAAGGAGGTTAAAGTTAACATTATCACAGTGGTACATAGCTGTTAGACTAAGTGATAGTGAGGATGCAGGGTGGAATGTAGGAAGCTGCCTTATGCAATGTCAGACCATTGGTCCATCTAGCTCAGTACTATCTACACTGAATGGCAGCAGCTCTCTACAGGGTCAGTCAGGGAACATTTCCAGTGCTATCTGGAGATGCCAGGGATTGAATCTAGGACTTTCTACATTCAAAGTAGTTAGTTGCTTAAGATCCCGATTGGCTTGGTGGCAGGGGGCATTCTGGACATGATGGCAGCATAAGTCTGGCAGGCCCCTGGAGGACTGTAGGCCAGTTAACCCTCCAATGCCATTGCACAAGTGTACTCATCTGCCTGCCCAGGATAGCATCAAGCAATTGGTTTCTCCAAGTGAGAACACTTGGAGTGAAGAACTAAAATGTGTGCATTTCCAGTCTAGACTAACACAGCCTTTAAAATCCATCATGTTTGGTGGTTTTAATCCCAAGTCAGACCATTAGTCCATCTAGTTCAAGACTACCTACACCTAAGGTGATGGTGGTGGCAGCTGGCTTTCCACACCCTACCTGGAATTGCTGGTGACCTTCTACCTACAGCCACAGAGATTACTGCCTCCTCTCAAAGCTTCTCCCCAGGCTCCCTAGTGTCAATAACGTTCATCCCAAAAGACATGCAATTCCAGGATGTTTCAAGCCCTCCTCTCCCCCTTCACTCTTAAAAGTCCAAAACGCAGGTCACTGTGCGCTTGGGCTTGTGATGCAGCGGGGACTTGGGATCCGTGAGACTTTCGGCCACAATTAACCTGTTAGGTAAAGGTAAAGGGACCCCTGACCATTCGGTCCAGTCGTGACCGACTCTGGGGTTGCGGCGCTCATCTCGCTTTATTGGCCGAGGGAGCCGGCGTACAGCTTCCAGGTCATTTGGAAAGCATGACCAAGCCGCTTCTGGCGAACCAGAGCAGCGCACGGAAATGCCGTTTACCTTCCCACTGGAGCTGTACCTATTTATCTACTTGCACTGGCATGCTTTCGAACTGCTAGGTTGGCAGGAACAGGGACCGAGCAACAGGAGCTCACCCTGTCGCGGGGATTCAAACCGCCGACCTTCTGATCGGCAAATCCTAGGCTCTGTGGTTTAGCCCACAGCGCCACCTTAGCCCATGTTAATTTTTTAAAAAATTAAAAAATCAAGTGCAAACATAAGGCATGAACAGAATAAGCCTGTATATCTTCCCCCACCCAATAAAGCAGAACTTACTGCTTCCTCTCTCGGCTTGAGGGTGACCTCCAGGCTTCCCACATCCCCCTTCGCCCACGTCTCTCCACATCGCTGCCCCACCCTGAGCCCATGAATAGCCAGGGGGGCTTTTAAAGTTGAAGGGTGCCTCCCCCCCCCAAACCCCACGGAAACTTCTCGTCCCAGCCATGTGGGGGGATCTGTAGCCCTAGCAACCTTTCCTCACAGATGCCCGTTTTTTTTCTCTCCGACCCCGACAAGGACTCCGCCCCCCGGCCAGTCCTTACCCAGCACGACCGGGGGGCCGGGGGAGCTCCTTCCTCTGCGGGGCAGGCAGCAGGCGCCGTGAGGCGAGCAGAAGAGCAGCAGGAAGAGAAGGGCCAGCGAGGGGAAGGCAGCCCCGTCCGGGAGGAGCCGCTTCCTCCGACCCCGCCTCGAGCCGGCCGGCCGCATCATCGCCTCAACTCATGCCCCTCCTCGGAAGAGCGAGCCGCGAAAGCGATCAGAGTCCCAGTCCCGCCGCCGCCGCCGCCTCGAGACAAACAAAACGGCTCTCTCCCCTCTCGAGCTTCCTCCGACCGCCGGAGCCTGTCAGCTGAGGCGGCGCGCGCGGTGCCAAAGGGCCTATATAAAAGGGGGGGACAGCTAGCCAATCAGCTTCTCACCGGCTGCCTCATAGCCAATGAGAGAGAAGTAGGCGTTCCGGCGCTCCTCCTATTCCTTTCCTACCCTCGAGTTCAGTACGGGAAGTTGAGAGCGGAGATGTCGATTGAAAGAAAACACACACAAAAAAACCCCAAGACGTTGAAGAAAACACGCGCCCCCCCTTTCTTCCCCGCGGCCGGGAAAGACCAATCGCAGATCGAGCAGATCCGCTCCGTCTCAAAGCATAAGAGTTGCATATGCTGCAATTGTACAAGCGAGGACTGGTGCAACGCGGTTTGTTTTGCAATGTCCACCCACTCGTCTCCTAGTGCAGGGATCAGGAATCGGTGGGTGCCCAGCTTTGTAGCTGCCAGTCCTCTTGATCACGGACTATGCTGGCTAGAGGGTGTTGGAGGATACCAGCATATTGTGGGTGGGGAGCACTGGTGCCCCATCCCTGCCGTAACAGAAGTGCTCCTGCTCAGGACGCTATATAACAAGTCTTAAGGAGCTTAAAGCGGGCCGGGCCGGCGGGGGCTTCATTTCTTTTCTTTTCCAGCTGACGTTGAGCATTCTGTGAATACTGAATGTATTGGGCTGTTTGGGAGGCAAGCAAAAGGCATTTCAAGGACACATTTCAGCCTGGCAAAGACACTAAAGGAGGGTGTGAAGCAGGGCTGGTGAAGTCGCAGCGTGGGAAGAGCCCCAGGGGCAGATGCAGAGGCTCGGAGTAATGTATTTGACACACATACCCAGACCTGTGGTCCTCCCTCCCTTCCATACATAGGTGCAAGGACTTTTCTGTTATTGTCAGAGTAGCGAAATTGCATTTTTACTTGATAAAGGAGCTGCATTCTACCTTAAGGTAAAGTCAGCTCTGTGTGTGACTGAAAAAAGTATTTAGGATGCGCCTAAATACCACTGACATCAGTTTATCATATTTCTGTGTGTGCCTGATCACAGTGTAGGAGTGTAAACCCATCCGTAACCAGTTCTGTACTGTTTCCTGGAAGCCAGATGGGTTTTTCCCCACCCACATCTCTCTGGGTTCTATTCCTGCCCCCAAATGCCACCTTTTCCTCCCCAATCCAAGCATTTCATATAACAGGAAAATGAAATAATATTGATACATTCATTCATTTTATGCAGCATGTGACTTGTTTTATAATCTGCTTGCTGAGCTGCTTTGTGTTTAACTAGCAACAGATAAAGTGGAATCTGTTGCCCTTTTTTTTGTTTTTTTGGCTTTTTTTGTCTGCTCTGTCATGTGGCTGTGCCTTGAATGGGTGTCACTGATAGCTGCTAATCAGCTAAGAAGGCCCTTGCCAAGAAAAGCCTTTTAAATGACAAGACTCTGTATCTTGAGTTGAGCAAGAGCTATGCCGTTGTTAGTGGAGTCAGAGGTGAAACTGAGCATAGGACCAGAGTAAGCACACCCTAATTTGTATTTGGCAGACTGGCTGGCAGGCAGACACTAGTCTTTGAATATTCAATTTATTAAATTATATGCGCTTCAAATGAAAAATGAAATTGAATCTGTGGAATCGTGAAAGAGGTGGGATGGTTCTCTGAGCATGCAAGTTTGCAAAAATCCTGTTGTCACAGGAGGAATCCTATGAATATACTAAAGAAGGGAATGCCATGAGAGGCTACCTCAGCCCCAAAGACCTTGCTTGTTACCAGTGTGGCCTCTGCCAAAGACAGAACAGGAAGCAGACCTTAGAAGAGGCGGTATGATGTAGAGGTTAAGAGTGTGAGACTAGGACCTGGGACAGCAGGGTTCAAAGCTCCCCTCAACCTTGAAGCTCACTGGATCACCTTGGATGAGTCACTGTTCTCAGCCTAACTTAACCTCACAGTGTTGTTGCAAGGATAAAATAAGGGGAGGGAGAGCCACATGCGCTACCTTGAGCTGCTTGAAGGACAGGTGGGATAGATATGCTATAATAAATAAAATAAATAAAAGATCTAGCTTAGGGCCCCCCTTGCTGACTCTTTGTGAAAGGGGGGGAAGGGCAAACCACACTGAAATGTAGGGTGGGCCAAAGAGATATGAGAAAGCCTCTTCTAAGGTGGTGCTAGATGTACCATATGTAATTTTTAAAAGCTAGTCTTTTTAATTAAAAAAAAATCAAGGCAATTTTCTAGACAATTAAAAAAAGGTTTGCTCAGTTAATCTAATGGAGGAAATGGAGTTCATCTAATGGGGAAAATGGAGAAAAAAACTCCCTAAGCTAGGAATGGAAAATCTGGGGCAAAGGGCAATGGAACAGAGCATCCTAGAAAAGGTGAAAGACTGGTCAGGATCATTCCATAATGTGTCAACATGCTGCAAGGACTTACTCATATTGTCTTATATGGGAACTCCTGACTTCAGTCTGACCTAGAGGAGAAACAACTCCCTTTAATATTTGTCAGAACAGGTTACCATATGGCAGACTTTGCCAACCTAGTACCCTCCAGTTGTTTTAGACTAAAACTTGCATCCTGTTAGCTGGGGCTGATTGGCTGACATATGGCTTCTGGGAAGACTCTTCCCCTGACTAGATGTGGTGAAACTACTGATTGGAAAAAAATGAGATGGTTGGAAACCACTGAACTTAGAAGCAGCTAATGAGGAAAGATGTTTGTCTTTTCAGCTGTGGTTGAATTTAGAGACTGCTCAGCATGAGACCTTGAGGGTTTTTCCTCAATCAAGTATTTATTAGCTCATCAACTCCACGTTTCAGACAAGTGCATGTATGCAATCTTCATTATGTTGCCTAAGAGCTGACTCAAGCTGTTCTCCAAACCAGAATATAAGCTGGTGCTGGAAACACGGAAAACTGATTTGCATTTCCTTGCACCATAACCCTTTGGTTCAACTTGCACTAACCATTATTGCTTTCATCTGAAGTCTCTGTCTTTGGGCTTCTCCGTGTTTGGGTGCTGGAGTTGTAGTTGTAGTCCAAAAGCTAGTGAATTTTCATGGGGACTGTTTTTAATTGCAAATTGATCTGGAAGGGTGGAGAACTGAATTTAAGATTGGAAAATGAGACTGAGAGTAACTACAATTGAGGGATCCACCCATTCCTAGCCCTTGGTCAGCCCTTAACCAGGTGGACCCATCACACTCCCCTTGCCTTGGTGGCGGCAGGTGGGAGCAGCAAGAGCAAAAACAACCCGGTCAAGCTGGCAAGCAGTGATTTTGCTGACACCTGTCATTTCAATTCAACCGCAAAGCCCTTGGCGCCTTAAAAAAGCATTGTTCTGGAGTGATGCCATGTCAGATTCCCTGAGGTGTGGGGAATCAAAAAAGGAGGAGCTAGTCACATTCACCCAGCCTCCAGCACTGAGAGGTGGCACTTTGGGTTGGTGGCAGAGTAGTGTCGAGCCCTCCTGAGGCCTGGGCCAACAGCAGCTGCCCAACAGTACCAGCTTCTGATGCCAGACCTGCCCAGTCCTATTACACATTTCTGGAAGCTCTTGTTTGTCATTATTATTATTATTATTTTTATCATCCTCATCATTATTTGTGGCAGCCACCATTTCCCCACACAGACACAAACACAACACCCTGTAATGATGATAGTTCTGAGGCATTGTGGTAAGGAATACAATATGGTGGGAAGGTTGTCAATACAGCTGGTAGCCTCTCCCCATCCTGGAGAAATGCAGTAAAACGGTCCCATTTCCCAGCCCACCCCCAGTTTCTCTGCCACAAATGAGAAGTTTGAGAGGCCATTTGCACACAGCTCTATGCTGAATCCTGAGAAAGGTCAGTGAGAACTAGGCCGAAATCAAGTGGCCCTTAGTAAACTGCTATCCAAACAAACAACAAGGACCAAATCGGTTCCTCCTAGCTTTGGATTTAGTTAGTCATAAACCATGTGGTAACAGTGGAATGAAATCCAGTCCTGACAAAACCAGCAAACCAACAGGAGAAATTCAGTGCTATGTTGGTCAACAAACAAGAGGGTCGAAGCGTACATACCATATGCAGGGCAATAGGTCTATTGAGTAAGAATTTTTGTGCAAGATGGTGACTAGTAAACTTACAGCTACCATTAGTGGATTCATTGGGGACAGCCGAAGGAGCCCCGCCCATCTTTTGCTCTGAGCCACGTGGCCTCAAATTTGCAAAGAGCACCAGAATTTGCTTTCAAGTTTTTCACAAGGTAACATTTGCAACCTACTTCAAACTACTCATCTACCCAACTCTCAAAAAAATAAAACATTCATTTCCCCTTGAATGGGACTTTTTAACCATCAAGACTGTTCTCATTTGAGCCTTTATATCCCACCCCATCACTGAGATCTGAAGGAGCACTGTCTGTTGTTTCCCATGTTCTAGAAGCTCAAATGGTTTCGATTAGAAGTCAAACATTTAGTGCCACCAGTCCCATACTGTGAAATACCCTTCCAGCAGTGATATGGCAGGCATACCCACTCCACATGTTGAGATTCCTGCACTGCTGGGGGTTGGACTAGATGACTCTCAGGGTCCTTTCCAACTCTACAATTCTGTGATTCTATGATTCTAACTCTTGGAACCATTTCGATGTGAGGGAGATGCTGAAGACAGGGGTGGGGCCTGCCGGTGGTGGTTATTTTGATTGGCTAAGCAGAGGGGTGTGCAAGTGTGTGCAGAAAAACTATAACAACCCTGCTGTACAAAGAAACATTTTCACTCATTGCTGCTCCCGCTTTTGCATCTGACACTACCCACCACTTGCATGTGGCCCCGAGAAGGCTTCCCTGACAGGAATGTGGCCCACAAACTTCCCACAAACCCGCACTAATATTTTCAGATAAAGGTGCTGTTCAAAGAA